ACAGGACGGCAGAAGAAGGGCTCTAAGAGGAGATGCCCGGGACACCCCAGTCCGAAAGGAGCGGGCGGACTCGCTCACCCCTGGCCTTTGTTCTTCTCCACAAGTAGAATGTCACTGGGCCAAGCATGGAAACAAGAGCAACAACAGAAATGACCCCAAGAAGCGACGTCTTCAAGGAGCAGGTGGCATCCGAGCTGCTGGTCCCAGGTGTCTCTGTGACACGCCAGCCGCTGCACCTGCGTGAGAGCAGCCGCGGAGCCTGGGTGCCAGCGGCGCGGGCACCGTGACGGGCACGATGCTCGCGCAGACCTGGCGTCCCCGCTCGCAGGGCCTGGGGCGGCTGGGCTGGTCGACAGCTCTGGGGCGTGACCTCAGGCCTGTTGGCTTTCCCAAGTGCCACTACGGGGAGAGGCAGAGAGAGAGGTGGAGGAGGGAAGCAGAGATAGGCCAGGGCAGGGGGGACAGGCGGCGAAGAGGGAGAAGGGGGCAGCCAGGGGACCAGAGACCCCAGGCAGGGAGAGGCCAGCGTGGGGAGGACAGAGGACAGAGGGAGAGCATGCCCGGGAGGACGCAGAGCCAGGGCCAGAGCTGGATAGGCCAGAGCTGGGGAGACAGGACCAGGCATGCAGAGCAGGACAGAGGGTCCCCGTGCACCCCTCCCCGGGGCAGCCACCCCGGGCCCAGCCCAGAGGCTGTGAGGTCCCAGGTCAGCTCTGGGGTCCGGATGGGCATTGGAAGAGGTCGTGCCACTGGAGGAGTGGGGGAACCGCACCTGACAACCTCCCCCCGCCCCGAGAAGCCCAGGATGCCCTCCCACAGGGGACGCCAGGGGACAAGGGCTCTGGCAGCAGCCCTCTGGGTGCTGCCAGGTCCGGTGATGTCCTCCCTGGGCCTTCAGGAAGCCCGGACCCGCCGTGCGCGGTGGCGGGTGCAGCCTGTTATCTGTGGGACGCAGGCTGCCCCAAGCCGGGCCCTCCCGGAGCTGGCAAGTGACCGTGGTGCAACCCAGGGTGGGGCCAGCGGTCTCGGCTGAGGGCGGGCAGCCACGCCCATGGGAGCAGCAAGGAGGCCCCTGCCAGCGCCCCTGAGGCCACCCTGCGGTCACCTACTCGGTCCAGGGCTGGCACTCCTCCAGGCTCCCGGTGGCAGAGAAGGTCCCTGGGGGACAGTCCTGGCACACCGTGTCCTGCCTCTCGGTGCCTGAGAAATGGAGGGGCGGTCAGAGGCGGCCTCGGGCACCAGGCTGGGAGGGGGGCTGGGGTCAGGCGGGGGCACTGGGCCAGGGGACTCTGGGGTGGGCACAGCCACCTGCCGGCTCACCTCTCTCCTGTACCCTCTGGCCCGGGCGGCACGAGCTGTGGGACCGGCATGCGGCGCAGTGGTCACCGTCCTCGCAGAAGTGGCCTTGGCTGCAGCCACATAGTGTGTTCTGCGTCCTGGAGCAGCTCTGCCTGGTCACCAGCCCCATGGCTGGGGCCAAGAGACGGGCCTGAGAGCAGCGTCCAGGGTGCCGTGGGCAGGGCCAGGCCCCGTCCTGGGAGGGGG